AAACTTCACAATCCCATTTACCACATATCCCATCCCGAGAAAGGTCTCCCTAATACTTTTTACTCCCTTTACTTCAGCACAGTAGCTAAATATTTTGCCTGTGATAAATATATTGCATTTACACTTTATAATGATCTGCACACAAAACAGCCTACAGCCTACTTAAAAGGACTTTAATCTTTATGTCCAAAAATAAATACATTAAATAAGTACCAGTACTACTGTTTGTATTAAATAACTAATGTTTAAAACCCAACTTGAATACACTGTTGACAGGAAACAATATTAAGTTCTAGCAGGACTAATTATGTTCCCTGTTTATAAGCAAATGAATTTGAAGAGGTGGCACCACCTAAGCTTACTTTCACATAATGTGAAGGAAAGAGTAATTAACAGGAACCACTTCTGTTGCTCAGCATAGGTTATAGAACAGCTTTGATTCAATACAATAAATAAATTGAGCAAAACAATGTTTTCCCATATCTTACTAATGCTTGGCAGAAACATAGCTGTTCTCTTTAAAGAGCTTTATGAATACTAGTCATTAACACCATGGGAGGCAGTTAAATATAAAACATTCTACATACAAGGAACATGGGATGCAGAGGCTCTAATAGCAAACAGACCACAGCTCAAACAGAGAGCTCTGTAGTTTGAAATGCTAATCTTATTCTCGGATCAGAGAGAGAGATAGTAAAAGCAGGATTACATTAAATTTTTCCCAGTATGAAGCAGACTCTCATTTTGGCCTAAGTTGATTTGAAAGGGGAATAAAACAGTTTTCAAAATATTCCCAAGTATCAAATGCAAATAATTTCAAGATGGTTGTTTTCCTGTTTGCCTTCCAGACTCAAAGGATTTGACTTCATAATAGTAGTATGAACAGTTTCCAGCTGTTGATAACAGCATAATTTCTGTACTGATTTATTTTTTTAAAAAACACTTCAGCACAGCAAGGAATAATACAGAATTCCTGCAGCCAGCAGCAAAAATTCCACACAGTTCTTGGAGCATATGACACAAGATGTTAAAACAAGCAAGACTTCCAGACTCTTGAAGCATCCATCACTTTGCATCTCTCCTTCAGAAATCTTAGGCTCTTTTTGATTCAAGTTGTGAACAGACAGTTCTACAGAGAAAGACATCACTTTTTACACATATTTGCTCCATTTTTAAAGAGTAAAAAAAAAAATAAAAATCACATACACATCTCAGTAGCTGCTACTTTGGCTGCTGTTCATCCTTCTGTATGGCCAAAGTCCACAGGCCAAACACGTCAGCATGTGAGCTACATCAGACCTCCAGAGCACTTTCATTTTATTGCCTTCAGGAAATGGAAACACACTGTCTCTAAGCTCACACACCAGATCACTGTAGCTGAACATCTGGGTAAGCTACAAAAGCCAAGCAAAATCTCCTTACATACAAAAGGCAATTTTTTTGATCTCAAGGTTTTTACAATAAATAATCTCTCACAAGAACCAGAAAAGCAATAAAAATCCTATTTCATGACAACAGCACTTGATATATTTTACTTTCTCTGAACAGTGTCAGACTCCACTACCTCCACTGTTAATTTGCAAACCTTATGCATCATCAATGTAAGGTATTCAATCTGCCTTTTTGTGGATGCTGTCACTATAATCACTTTCCCTGACAACTACCTGAAAAGGGGAAAATAAAAACCAAGAAGTAGGAGTCAATAAAATATTATCCTTTCAGCATCATATAATCCTGTTTATTAAACTATTATATTTAATAGTTTAATTAGAAGCAGTACTGTCAAAGAAAGGTAAGTAGGAGCAAGATGACTTTTGACTGCTAAACCTTTCTAGCACCAAATATAAGTATCTTAAAAGGTTACTAAAACCCTTTTTTTGCTGTTCATTCATTCTCATTTCAAAAGGTTTGCAAGGAATAAATATTTCCAAAAGTTTAGAGGATTTGTTTTGGATTTATTTTTCCTATCTTCTTCTGTAACCCAAACAGCAGGTCCTACCACCCAATCACAAGTTTCCTTCTATTCAATTAAACTGCCAGATTAATTACCACTCATTAAGTTCAAAAGTTCAGTGATAAACCTTATGTAATTGCATTAACTTTTAATTCAACTGAAAATGTGCCTCACCTGTTACAGCTGCTGGAAAGAAAATGAGTCTCACCGATGGCTCTTGGTCATGCTGCAACTCACTAACAAAACATCTGTAGGTTTCCAAGACACAACTGGACAGGATGCCAGCAAATCTGACCAAAGCTCCCTTTTACAGAGGGACCTGATGATCTTCCCAGGTTCTTTTCAAATTGGGCTGTCTTCTAAAAATTCTGTATTCAGATTTATATGGCAATATTTCAGACAAACCTGGTAATTTGAACCTAAGTTTCACTTAGCAGCTCCTAAGTGGCTAACTTTGAATATTCAAGCCACTTATACTTCACTTACCCTCTCAAACTTAATTTCTTGTCCCCAAAGGTCCTGTCAAATTTTAGTTGCATCTACAATTTCATACACTAAAAACTCCACACAAAAACATTGTATAATCATGTAAATTAGTTAATTAATGGAATTATAGTGTAAACATCTAGCAAAAACACAAGACTGATTACAAAGTGAACCATGGATAATGCACACAGGTATGGAGTCTCCTTAGCAGAACTCCCCACTGACTCCTACCAAACTGGTTCCCACCCTGACCCGTTTGTTAATCCTATCATTGCCATCTTAGCAAACTGGATATCATTATTTTATTCAGTATGGACTGTCAGACTTCCTCTGTCTAGAAAAAAGAATGAGAACATCTATCAAAAGGTAAACCTACATTGTATTTGATCCTGTTTCCTTCTACATCTTCCCTTTTTTTCTTCAAATTCTGTTCTAAAGAAACTAGATATGGATAGCATGTGCAGTGACAGGGGAGTTTCCACTTTCCCAAGTAAGCAAGCCACATTTAGCATTTTATAGTCTACCATCTCCAATTCAATGCATCTATTGAAGTAATATAAACAAATATTACTGCATTTGCAACTCTATGCAAACTCTGATTTTCCAATGCTGTGAGATGAAATTATTCTATTTCTCTCCCCACCTTTTGAGTATCAGATAGAAAACAGAGATATACTGAAAACCAAAGTAGAATACTTGCTGAAATTTAGGCAATCTTAAAACTATCTCTAATTTATTACCCATATTTGCTGCACAAAGATGGCACTTCACCCTCTTTGCTCTTTTGAAAAACATTTTTTGGTAAAAAGCTGTAATTTTTTTGTATAATGTTGTATCATTTTACAATAAAACTTAACCTTGCTATTGCTCAGGCAGTAGTTAGCTCACATTTCTCTAAACTGCAAATTCAGCAAACAAGGTTCTGAAAAATTATCAATTTTAGCAAAAAATATGGGTTTTGGGAGTGAGAAGGTGGCTAAACGCTTCATATAGTCTAATCTAGAGTTCAGTCAACCAGTGTTTTCTGCCTTCTGACTTCATTAGAGCTTAGATGAAAAAGTTCTGCTTAAAATTTGAGGCAATAGTCATCTACTTAAGTTATACAGCAATTATCTGATAAACACTTCTAACAAAAGTCCTCTTAGTAAACAGCAATTATTCAAAGAACAAAAAGTAGTCCTAATCTTAGATTTCTTTTGCTTTCTACAGTAATTCTAGTTGAATTACTAGAATTCTAAAATAGATGTGGGAAGAGATAACTTGGATTATTAGCAGCAGTAGCACGTGATCATACACCACTGTCTAGGAAATGACATGTTTCCTATAGCCCACAACATTTCCTAGAAATGTTCAGTTTCTCAGAAGAGAAACTGACCTTTGGAGTCCAGAGCAGACTTAACTGGACTAACTCCACTTTTTCCAGAGTCTATTTCCAGCACACTGATTTTACTGAATACACATTGTGAAAAGCAGTGGGGAAATTAAAGGATTCCTTAAAAAACAAAAAGCTCACAAAACCACTCACTAGACCAGTTGACACTCACTTCTAAACTGCTAGGGGACCAATTTATTTAAGGAAAAAAGGGGATTTTCCTAAGGGCATTTCCCTACCAGGTGAAACACCAGGATTTAAAGAGGCAATTTCTTAAAAGTTGAAAGCACCACTAGCACACACAACTATCTCAATGCTCATCTGCACTCCCTTCTTCCAAACTAATGCAGCACCTGTATTCCTGTCAGCTCCAATATTCCATCATGTTTTTGTTTTCACACCCGCAGTCCTACTTTGCTCATTTTCTCTGCCAGACTCCCCGTGTACCAAGGCACAAACTGCAGCTCCAAGATCCCACAGAGTTTTTCAGCTTGATCAGAGGCAGCTTTGTTACTAGCCTGACTGCCTGCCCGAGGCCCAACCCCAGCTTGGTAGCGGTAAGCCTGGCTAACCGTCCCGCCACGGGATGGCCCTTTATGCAGGGGTGTGACTGGGCAGGGACACGGCACAAGACCGACATCCGGCTCCTTCTGAAACTCAGGAAGTTCCACTTCAACATGAGGAAGAACTTTATATGAGGGTCTTATATGAGGGACAGTCTGACCAGGGAAAGCGTGGAGGCTCCCTCTCTGGAGTCATTCAAAACCCACCTGCACGCATTCCTGTGTCACCTGTATCCTGCTCGACGTGACCCTGCCTTGGCAGGGGGATTGGACTAGATGGTCTCCCTTCCAAGCCTAACAATTCCAGGCTTCTATGAGGACGACTCTATTTTAAGGGGAGAAACTAAAGACCAGCCTCTCTTCCCAAGGGAAGTCGCTCCTCTTCCGCGAGGCACGAAGCTCCCCAGTACCCCAGGGGATCCCCGGCCGGGGCCGCCCCGCGCTCCCCCCCGCACCG